TAAATTCGAATATTGTACCAGTTTGTAGTTCACATGTTTTTGTAGTTATACAATATAAACAAAATAATTATATGCCTTTTAAATTAATGTTGGTTTCATCCCATCTCGTTAATGGACTTTTAAGGCGTTCTCTTGTGTCCGTTGGAGTTATCACCCCCTCCTCATCATCGTAAGCATAACTAAATAATGGCCTTTTTGAATTATTAGATTCACCCTCTTCACTAGGGAAGATGTTTGCAAATCCAATGCTCGAAACTTTCTGTGGAACAGTTATTCCTCGATGAGGCTCGACCGTAGCCGCCCTTGAAAGGGGTTTTTTTGAATTATGCTGATATGTGTGTGAAGGTGATGCCTTTGAGAATCCATAATATTCATTCGTCAAACTACTTGGATCTGAAATACAAAAAATCTTATAATCTGTAGGGCAATTCTTGATTTGTTAAATGAGATATAAGAGTTACAAGCATCACACAGTGTTTTTATTTTAAATACGCAAGAAAATAAATAAATTTTTTTATACCTTAAAAAACACAGTTTGGAGTTATTTAGTGAGACACTTAATAGTAAAAAAAAATTAAACTTTTGGTTTCCAAAAAACAGTGAAAAATTGTCTCTCAAAAAATAGAAAATATCAAAATTGACATTAAAATCGTCAAATGAAATCACGTTCTCGATATTCCATTAATAAGTAAAAATTGTGTGGGGAACTTTTCAGAAATAACTAGTTGCATTTACACACTTAATGTACAGACAATTTTCCAAATAATTAATAAAAGATTCCTTACATGTATTCAACAAAACTATTATAATTTCTATCAATATAATTCTTTTTCTAGGAAAAAAAAAATTAATATATACCGGATATTTTTCCAAAGAGTGAAAGAAGAGATATCACACATAAAAAAGTAAAAATCGGTGAAAAGAAAGATAAACCATTAGTATAAAAAAATTTATGAGAACAACAATTTCGCCACTACATGTGACATTACTTATTTGAGTGGTGCTTACTTGGTTCGTTATTATTCCTCAAAGCGTCGTCGTTCTCCTTTTTATATTTAGTATTACCACGAGCTCTTGGCTGTTTCCGAACGCCATAAGGAAAAACTAAATCTTCTGACTTCTCAACATTTTTCTTTTTCTTTGTTCCTCCAACATCATTACTCTCATCATTGATGCGAAGAACAAAACGATTGTACGATGGATAAGATTTGAGTTTTGCATTATTCTTATCCTCGGCAGCTTCGTCATTATCTTCATCACTATATTTATCAAAATAGTGATATTTGGCACCTAAAGTTAATTTCCCATCTGCGTCATCTTCAACTTCACCATTGTTGCTGGATGTTTTTTCAGTACTTAACTTGTCATCGTAATCTTGAAGTGAAAATAATTTTATTGGTCTCAAATGCTCTTTAGACTCGGTCTTTTTATTATTATAACGAGGCGATTCGTCCGAGGCATTTTCTTCGCTATTCGATGAATAGTTTTCACCATCATTGTAACCTATTTCAGAAAAGAATAATTTTTTTACTTATATTTTGATAATGAGCTCACAAGTAATTTATAAAAATATTTTAAGGTTTTTATTAAAGTAGATTAGTCGCTGGGTAACCTTAAACAATATTTTATTTAATAAGTAGTATGGAGACATAAACACTTTACTCACCTTCTCTGCTAAAGTCATTTTTATCGTCATCACTATCATCACCATCTTTAGTTATAGGAGGAAAAGGCTTTGTTTTGTCGATGATTTCGACATCTGTTCTGATTCGTTGAAACGGCTCTTCTCGGGCGTCAAAGACTGGATGATTATTGAAATTTTTATTTCTGTCACCATTAAAATGTAAGTGGGTCTGTGACTGGAAATCTTGATATTCATCTGGAAACATTGAAATACCTCTACTTGGTGTTTGCGAGAAACTTGCACCGTGATATCTTGGAAACTGATAAGAACTGCTTGCTGCATGTATAGGCAAGACTTGCGTAAGACTAGAGCCTGAATTACTCAAAAATGGAATGTTTTGTTCTGTTCTTTGATCGTTGCCCTTGAGATTCAAGTCATAAAAATTTCCGCTGTAACTTGGTTTATATCTGCGTGATACGTCACTCTTGGAACCATAAAGAGAAGTCATTCTTCGGGGTTGAAAATAGCTAGGATATTTTAAATTGGCTTGTAATGGTGTAACGGGAATTGAAAATTTCTTGTTATTTTTTTCGTTTATTGTTGAGATTGTGTGTGTAATTTGAGGGCCAAGCCCCTTGCTGTTAAACGGTGCTCTGTACTGCCGGTGGTGATGATTACCTATGTATATTTTTGAAGGCAAAAGTTTAATGTCTTGATATGATTCTGTTTTGTAAGGAATATTTTGAATTTCCGATTTTTGGGCTCGATAGTTGCGAATCACCTCTGGTGCTTGAGTCAGAGAAGGGTATTCGGGAATAGTAGACATATAATCGGTGGATGATAATTTACCGTTAAATGGAACTCCCAGCAAAGATTTGTATGCATTTGTACTATGAAAAACACTTGGATCAGCCGAATAAGCTGCGACACTACCAAAATATGGAATCGTACCTCGATTTGAATTACTCACTCCATTTAATAAACTTTGATTCTCGTTGGATAATGTATCAGATTCTGGTACTAAAGGTTTTTGTGGTGTTAATTGTTGATTAACGTTATACTTCACAGTTTGAGTAGGACTTGAAGGCTTAAAATATCTATCATAAGTGTCATAATTTGTAGCACTTCTGGTTACTTTTGAAGAAGAGGAAGGAACACTTGAACTGATCTCTTTACTATCACTATCATGACTTCTTGTTTTGTCTGAGTTAAAAATGCTAAAATCTTTGAATTCACTAGAGTCAAAGTCAAAGATACCATCTTTACGTGCTGGGTGATGAAACGATGATGCAGCGTCCAATAAAGATGCATTCATTGCTTGAACTTCCACGGAATATTTTGGATCGGTTAATATACTTTCACCAATACTTATTACCAAAAAGAAAATAGCATATTCAATCTAGAATACAAAAGTGTGTGAGCACTTACAATTTATTGTTGTCATTTTTTTACTTAATCAAGAATAGTAATTCGTAAAAGTGCAAAAAAAAAAAAAAACATAGTAAAAATAAAAAACTTCAAAAATGATAAATTTTTAAGTCAGATTAAAAAGTACTATAAAGTGACTTCTTACAAAAGAAAAATAACAGTAAAAACTGCTATATTTAATGTCAACTAAAACACTTGAATTGTGGAGTATCGTCCTTTTAATTTTTCATTACTTTTTTACCTTTTTAAGTAGTCACAATAATCACCATTTAAAAATAATTTAACGTATACGTTGATCAAAATCAACACAATATCACTTGCAAGCCAATAATAAATTGTAGATTATTGATAGTATTAATTATCACAAGAGTAAAAAAGGCTGTGTGCCTTGGTATTACTACTAGTAATTTTTATATTAAAACAGCGTATTAAAGTAATTTATTTAATTGGAAGATGACCTACCAACATGGTATCTGTTTAGCCGAATTGTCGGTTACCAGTAGAAAATTACAACTATCGCGGCAGCGGACTTGACGGGATCTTTTATATTCCGCAAGAAGTGATGCGAGACAATGAGAAAGATTACACTTTCCTAAAAGCTATAAAAAGAGCGCGAAAAAATCCCAAGCAAAACCTTTTGCAGGAAGAAGAAAAGAGAAAGATAGGTATCTCGTCGTCACCCACCACTGCTGTTGAGCGACACGGCTCACCACGTCGTTGGCATTGTTGTAGATACTTTTGATTCTTAGTAAGTCAAATAAAAATTATCAGCATAACATAGTTGATAAAAATTTTATCACTTAAATTTTACAAAAAAACGAGGTACTGTAGCAATTATAACTTTTATTATAACACAAATTGCAAACTTGATAAGTTTTCACATAGTAAAGTTTTTTCAAAACTTTTTTACTTAATTATTTGTTCATTTATTTAACTATTTATTTATCAAACAATATTTTGGAAATGTACTACTCAAAACGAGAAAGTTATGAACAGCTCTCAGTACTTTTTACCTTTACCTATTACGTACTATGACTTTTTACTTTTTTTTATTACCCTATATTAAAACTGCTGTAAATGTGGATGTAAGTTATAAAATAATTAAATTTCATTTTAAGGTTGTTACAATTGCTTTTTTTTTAAGTTCGTGGGCACAAGATTTGCATTCATTTGTATAAAGACCGCACAGCAACATCGTAGTATTATTGTTAATGTTACTAAATTGAAAATAAATTATTGGAAAAAAGATAAAACTTCGAAGAAGAAAAAAAATAATGCATAAAACGACTTATGTTTCACGGTCGAACATCTGAAGTTTAAGTCTTTTTATCGAACACAATGAATTTCCTTTTGTTGCAGTGCAACTTTTCGACGGAGGGAAGATGAAGGCTTTAAAGTATCAATTACTTTGCGTTTCAGATCTCTTTGACTCGTAATTTATAAAAACGTATGTGTTTAAAGAAACATGTAATTAAGTAAAATATACTGGCAGCCAAGCATTACTGAAAATTTTTATATTATTGTAATAACATTTATTATATTATATAATATTTTTGACGTGTCTCTTTAATATCTGTGCATCTATGGGTTCTATACATATTAAAGTAAGGTGCATCAATCCACACAAAACCAATCTTCATATTTCTAATTGCATAAGATGGATTTGTCGGAAGTGAACAAGTAAATCTTTTTTTTCGAAGTACGTAAAAATATTTGAAAAAGGAATAAAGTTGTACTAAGAAAAATTATGATAAACGAAGTGTATTGGAATTAGATCAAGTTTTATTGTAAAAATAACTAATTAATTTATTTCAATAAAATGATACAAGATTTTATAAATTTTTGGATGTTATAAGGTATGAGTGATTTTTTTGTTTTTGCATGGTATCAACATATGATAAGGCTATGTTTTATGTTGAAAAATTACAAGGAAAAAATATTATCTCGATTATGTCTCTTCAAAGATGATTTGGAGTTCTGTGACTAAGCAGTAAAACGAAAGCTTTTCTAAATGTGTAGCAGTACCTCCTTTATCTATTACCTACAAAAATAAGAGTTTCTAATAAAATGACTTTAACTCAATCTTCATTTTTATCTATTGATGGATCGAGAAACCCAAGTAACATACACTAGAAAAAAATAGATTTTTTAAGTTTTACAATAGACTGAATTCTCATACGACTCCCGATTATCCTTAAGTGAGAGTTTGATTATCGATCCTTATTTTTTTTGTAAAATTAACTTACTATTTACAAGAATTCAAGGAATTTTTAGGATAAGTGGAACATCAGTGTAAGTTACGGTCTAATAACGTAATAATGCGATACAATAGGTTTTCATGATAATTAAAATGTTTCTTGGGTATATGATCTATATGCTTATATTTTTTATTTATTTACAGTAAAATTGGTATCCATAAATGTTTTAACGCTTAAACTAACTTATATTTCAGTCGTAAAAAATACTAATTAATTTTATAACACCTTCATTCGGTAGTTTCGTCGTACTACATTGAGATTACCAACGACATAACTTGCAAGTTATGATTAATAAATAAGAAATATTCTTACTTCGCAAGAAATATTATTTATACTTTTACAATTGTTAATCAATCCCTTAAAGTACATGGTTTGATAACTGGGTGTTGGTGATTTTTTTTATTTATTTTTTTTTTTTTAAGTAACAAGTATAAAATTTATAATACAGTAAACTAAATACGAAATTCCAACTCGATTACAAGTACAAAAACACATTTAATACTAGAACTATTACGTATTTGGTTGATTTAAGCACAATATATCTGTATTATTTTTATGAGTTAGGATAAAATCTATGACTGGAAATTTTACGTTTTTAAATTTGTTTTTTCGTGATCTGAACTCATAACCCTGCTCAATGGAATCGATTGAGCTTGCCTGTCAGACTTTTTTTGAAAATTTTGGGTTACATCTCCGTTAGCATGTGACTGGACTCTTCTATTTTCTTCTCCAAACATTTGATTCACTGCATCTCTATCTTCCGACTGTTTACTGCGTATTCCCGAAGGAAGTTGAGTATTCTTCATAAGAAGACCCATTAAATTGTGCGTTCTCTGGTGATTAACATCGTACAAATTTTTCCCAAAAGACTTCAACTCTTCAGAGGCTCTCACTTGATCTATTTCTGAAAATGGAGTTGTAAATGTGGGGTAGTTATGATTTTGCAAAGTTTGGAAATCAGGTTTATTGTATTGGTATTTGTCTAGGAATAATTCAGCAGGATATCTGAAATCCACTAGAGAACTCTCTTGCACATCAAGTCCCTTGGATTTCGCTAATACAACTCCTTGTCTTGGTCGAGGTCTAGACTTTTCATGGTTAAAATTTGGCCGAGGTCCATGAGAAGGTCTTTTCTTCGGGGGCTTGTCATGGAATGGACTTTTTGAAATAAAAGAATTTACTCTAGGTGGCGTCAAAAAAGAATTTATTTGAGGTTTTGACTTGTGATGATGATGATGAGGATGATGGTGGTGATGAGATCCGTGAGAATGTTGCTTATGTTTGTGAGAGTGTTCGCCAGACGAATCTGGTCTCCTATGATTATGTCCAGGTTTTATAGTACGAACTTTATTTTCCGTTTGATGAGCCTCCAGTACATCTTTAGGTTTTTTTGACTCTCGCAAAGAACTTTTTATTCGATGTAACTCGCTCCGTAGCTTAGCAATATCTGATTCATCAATGTGACTGATGTTCGTAGACGGTGATCGAGGATCATTGTTCCATTTGTGTGAATTATATATAGTTTTTAAAGATTCTTTGAACATTTCTTCTGCATATTTTTCCAGATCTGAGGACAGTTTGGGTTTATGAGCTAAATTAACTTGTGCTCCTTGCGAATGTTTGTAAAAGTTTCCACCAGGTAATAGAGACACTAGGTTTAGATTGTTCTGTGACAATACATCATTTGGCACAATGTTATTGTTCAAAATCGACTGGCTCTTCACAAGATCATAATTTGGTACAAAATTAATTGGATTGAAAAATGGTCGATCGGGACCCTGAAGATTAATGTATTGATTATTATTTTGTTTTTCCCGAGAATTCGGTTTTTTAGTGCCTACTTCAGTTAGTGCATTAACAAAATTTGAGACGCTTACCGATGATTCTGGACTTGTCGTTGAAAAGGCAGGTTTTGTTGATAAAAAACCAGTTGTTGTGAAAATGGGTATTGGGGTGGTTACTATTGCCGCTGGAATCGGATTAATTGCATAAGCATTGGAATTCAGGTTAGGGTTGATTATTTCAACATTTTTAGAACTTAGTAGAGGTAATTGAGCTTTCTGTCCCAGATTAGCTATGTTACTAATTGAGTTGACGATATTGCTTGCACCTCCTGAACTGTCAAGATTTGAATAAGCATTTAATTGATTGCGGTTCGCCAAAAGGTTATACTGCAATTGTTTTATAGAATTTTCTATGGCATCATTTGTTGCTTTAAACAGTTGTGAAGTCTGATGCGGATTTGCTACAATGAGAGGATTTTGAAGAAATGGTTGATTTTGATTATTTATCAAACCAATGCCGGTGTGTAAAATGGCTGGAACAACCGTTGGCTGTAAAAATGTATTAGAATTTTGTTTTAACTGCTTATTATTTTCTGTGTTGTAATTTGAGCTGTCATTATTAAGGTTATTTTTCTTTTTGTTATGTCTGTTATGCGAGTGACGTTGAGTCCCTTGGTCCACAGACATACTTGCTGACGCTAAATATTGTCCTCCACTTCCTTTAGTTTTCTTGTTATTATATACGTTTGTGGCTTCAGTTGTAGATCTACTTGTAGGCTGGTATACATTTTGCTCCGGAGTATCCTTATAGTTAGAATTCTGATTATTTGAGTTGAACTGATTTGATGTTTGTGCTGTCATGTAATGTTGATTGTACGGAAAAAATTGCATTTGATTTAGCATTTGTTGTAACTGAGGTGTAATTGTTGGAGACGCTGAGAAGCTGGATTGTGGAGTCACAGCAAAAACTGCTGGAGACATTGTACTTTGTACGTATTGGTGCAACATGTTTTGCTGTAATTTATTAGGCATTAATATTGCATGCATAGGGTTATTAAATGAACTTTGACCAACAATCACATCAGGTACAGCCGTTGATACTTTTAGTTTTGGTTTTATGGTACTAGATGAAACCAAATTTTCACTGATATAACTTGGTGTAGAACTTACTAATGGAGCAGCAGTGCTTACTACTGAGCCATCGACGAAACCAGTAAACATTGCATTAGTGATATCAAAACCTTGACTATTGTCCAGGGCTGTCGCATGATCAAAAGTGGGGACAATATTTACAGGAACAATATGGAGTTTCGGCTTTTCAATTTGATTTATTTCATAGCCATTCGAATGCGACACCTCTACATTAGGAGTTATTTGATTCCAAAACCCTTCATTATGCTGACTATTCGAATGACTTGATTGCTCTTCGGAGTCATCTGTATCGCTATTATAGTTGTATTCAGTTACTACTTTCACTGGTTTTGATTTTGGTTGGTAACGTGATTTCGATCTAGAACTTGTATGCTTGTATCCAGTATCATCATAAGAGTTATCGTAACTTTCTCTGTGCTCTTTAGGCAACTTTCTGGATGAGTCGAAATGATGGGGTCGTCTTTTATTCTTTTTTACACGTTGTGATCTTTCTTTTTCACCCATGTAATCGTCATACTCATCGGAGAAATCTCTTGAATCAGCTGAATCGTAGTTTCTGTTGTTACCTTCTGTTGGTGTCAAATTATCCAATGTCCCATATTCAGAGTTAAGCGGGTAAATTTCATACTTTTTATCGCTTTGGGGACTAAAAGTTGAAACAACACTCTTATACGGTTGACCAATAAATTTGTCATTTACTTTGTATTCACTTGGCTCAGTAATTATGGGACTTTTAAATTTTTTCTCATTATCCACCGTTTCTAACGTTTGTCTTGGTTTTAATTTTGGTGTCGACATAGATGCGTAGTTTGTTTGTGGTAACAATGACTTTGGACTATAGTTTTCAATATTAGTTTGTTTGTAGCCATTATTTGATCTTTCATACTGAAAGGTATTTTTTTTCTGTTCTACAGTGACATCACTATAAGAATACTGATCATCTTCATTGCGTGAATCATAATTTCCTAAATAGGTCTTTTTCCCTCTTCCTTTTTCTCTGCTTTTAAGAGGCTTCCTAATACTGTCATCATAATATGTAGTATCTGGTTTTGATGATTCTTTTGATTGATCATAGAATGTATCATAGTTAGCAATTATTGGAGTTCCATTATTAACTTTTAGTGGTTCGAAATCATCTTGGTTTTCGTTAGTATGATATGATCGACGATTGTCATTTGTATTTGTTTCATCTCCATTAAAAAATGTCAATTTTTTATCTACTAATTCTTGCTGCCCGACTTTTTCTTCACGTATTTTATCATCAGACTTTGTAGTAAAATTTTTATTATCCTCCTTAAATGCATAAGGCCTTGAGATCAAAGGTATAAAACCGTTTGAATTTTGATAATGAATCGTAGAACTTTCAAGAAATTTTTCAGAGATTGATTTGTTCGAGGATGTTTTTTCATGCGTTTGAAAAAAATCGTCGAGGAATTTTGTTGGTACAGATACTCGATCAAATAAAGATTCGACGGATGTATTTTCTACGCATTTTCCTCCAATGCTCTGCCAGCATAATAATAATAAAACCTAAAAGAAATTATCAATATTAAAATGTGTGTTATTAATTATTTCAAAGAAAAAAATATATTTCTCTGGGGTAAGTTAAAAAAAAAAAAAATATTATGAAACTCTTTAAGGTAATACGTGAAAAAACTCCATACATGTAGGTGGTTAGAAAACGATTAAAGATATGGTAAAATAAAACCAGTCGAAAGTCAACGAATGACCTAAAAAGAAACGCTGATTAGAAAAGTAAAATGTGAGCAAACATGCACATTATACAAACAAGGACTGGATGTGCACGGAACCAAAACTTTACAGACTTTCTCGCTAGTTCATGGTCATCGCTGATGCACATGCTTACGAATGAAAATGTATGTTTCTTCATGAGTTTCATTCTGAATTGGGATTTCTATTAATAGAAAAATTTCACACGTCAAAAAATTTTCCATGGCTATTTAAAAGTATCCGTATAAAAACAACGTTGTTTTTTTAGAAATTTAAATAGAGTAGATTACACGACCTATTACGACTTAGTTGAAAGTCTTTACTTGCAAAATTAATATAGTAGCCTTTGTACTCAATAAAAAAAAAAAAAAAGCAATAAACTCAATTTGACAAAAGAATTTACTTTGTTTTTAACAATTTTGTCAGCAAATCATTTTAAAAGTGTTTTGATCGTTAAGGGACTTTCACTATCCTTGTAATCACGATATCATACTTTTTTAAATGTGAATCATCGGTTACCATTTGACATGGGCAATAAATTCCTTGCATGAGTAGTAACATAAGCAATTAAAGAATTGATTCTTTCAAACACTATTGCATTAATCACTGAAGTTATAAAACCCGAAAACTCGTCTTATCAAGAAATTGTCTAATCATTTAAGGCAATAGCTTTAAATTGAAACAAATCCGTAAAATAAACAAAAAATTTAAAAAAACTTAAAAACCATCCACTTAAATCCTTTCACTTACAAGGTAAAACCCCATGTCGGTCCTCATCGATGCAGGTCTTGTAATCTTCCACTTAACAAAAAACTACTCCTACGTAATGAACACGTCACCACAACAGCACGGACACATTGGTTGCAGCTGATAACGGAAGGACGACGGGGCACGACGATTCAACGCTACTCTATTAACAAGCTTACACACGCGTGGGTGCGTGAATGCGAGCTTCTTCGATGCTAGCGTGCAACTGCGTAACGGAGGAGCCTCTGTCGACAAGGCAAGCCTCCACGCGAGAACTGAGCTACATAGCCGATGCACAATTTTCTTTATACACTCTGGTAACCAAGTGAAAAATATCGTTCTAAATATTAGATCCCAAGGAGAGTCTGGGGAGAGAAGAGAGCCCAGCCAGGCACCACGGGGGTACACACGCACACGGGCTCACACGCACAAGCTCGCAGGATATACTTTCATTCACGACACGCGACTACTCGCTCACTCGGCTGTAAAAGTATTGTCCGACAAAACCCCAAGGATGCACTTACGTACACATGCTCCGTCCCGTTTATTAGACATCGCGTGGAATTTCAGCGAAATGAAAACTGCGAGAGAAACAGCAGCAGTGCAGCGGTAGCCATGGTAAAAAAGAAAAAAAAAAAAAAAAAGGAACAGAAATAAAAGGAGAAGAAAAAAATGTAAAGTCAGCGGATCCTGGCGCGTATGTGTACGTGTGAATGTAAAAGCGTGCGTGAGCAGCGGCTCACCTACTTTTCTTGTCAAAGCAAGGAGAGCCCGTGATTACGGGGGCACTGCTCGATTTTTCTGCTGCCGTCCGTCGAAGGGGGGTAATTTCGACTTTCCATTTTCATATTTTCATTTGTCGCAAAACTATGCACGCTCGCGCGACCACAGATACATGGACAAACTGCTTACACGTGTGAACATGTGCTTGCGTCTACTTTTATGATGTACGCTTATTATCCGTTCTTTCTCGACTCTGTGCGCTTTCATTTGCGGCACCTACTTCAAAGTGGTCTTATCTGTGTGTGCGATCTCTCACGAATTAGTAAGGATAAGTAGCGAGAGCCGATCGTTTTGCAAAAAACGCCAGTAATTATAGTTTTCGCTCGAGTCCCGGCCTGCAGTCGAGAGGAAGAGGGTGATTTGAGGTGTCGGTCGAGTCATCACGATCATCGTCCTCATTATCGTCCTTATTTGCTCGATTTTCGTGGTTGTTTTTTTTTTTCAAATTTTTTTCTCAATTTTAATTTCTTCTGTACATAAGGCTGAATTTCACTTTGCGAGATCATAGTTTTTGCAGGTACTGACACACTAAGGTATCAATAGGATCTTTATTCAGGATCGAAGAGCGATAGGAGAAAAGTAGCTTGAAAGTGAATGCGATGAGCGTCGAAGTGTGGTTATTAAAATTTAATCGTGATTTTTTAAATAATCATCGCCATAAAAGCCTTAAAACTCACCCATACCTACTCACCTATTGTTTGATATTAATTAAAACATAGAACTTATTTTTAACACCATAGACTTTTGAGACAAAATTTAGAGACAGACTCAATTTGAAAATATGTACTTCCGACTCACCATGAATTCTTCGGAAAAAGCGAGTGTGTAAAATAATAATTGCCGTACAAATGTGAGGAAGCGCTCGCACTTTTCCCCCAAGCAACGCGTCAAATCAGAGGATAACATAAGTAAATGCAAAGTGAGCAGTTGGAACAGACAGTGGAGGATCGTGCCCAGACATTAGTTTTGCCGCTTGGCTGATTGCTCCTACGCGCTCTGAAACGCGCACATTATACTGCCGATGGACGCGAGAGCTCCGCCCTCCCATATCCGGAGCTTATAACTTGAACGCGCGCTTGCAAACGCAGTGGAAAGAACGCGCGTTTTTTCCCTACATATACGCCACGTCAAAATTACCCAGCTATCACTAGTACGCGGTTGATATTTTTTTTTTTTTTTTTGCTTGAAATCATTGTGATCTTATTGCTTAATTACTAATAAAGTTAGTTTACCGTTTACATTGTCAAGTATAGTTGATAAAAAAAAAAAGAATTACAAATGGTTGTTTAATAACAGTGTCATTTGGATTCTAAATTTTGTTACATAGAGTGTTGTTATACTCTTACGGTGCTTCATTATCTTAACCCTTGGAAAATAAGAAATCTTTCACAGCTTCTGAGATTTTATGGTGTAGAATATATGCAACGACGATCTCTTAAACATTCAAATGCGTCTTTTTTAAACGTGAAAGTATAGTCTGATCAGAGATTGGGTTAAAGCTAATAAATTCCAGTAATTTGCATTTGTAATTCAAGTTTTCAGTGTGAAAAATTTGCGAGCCATGGTAGGCTATGGACATAAAAAATAAATTACATCACAAAAAAGTGCTTTTTTTAAAATGTAAAAGGCAGGTACATGATTGTGTGTGCAAAATTTTCCGTGATATTATTAAAGAAACAAAAGTTTTAACATTATCATCAGAGAGAAGAAGTACATCTATGTACTTTAACATTATTAGATGTCTTGTACGTTTTTTTAATTTCTCTCAACTTTTAATCACAACCGTTGTTTAGTGAAAATATAAAAGACATACAAAGAATTTCTCTGAACTCTTGTATCTAATAAACCTCGTCCAGGATGTCCCCATTGACAATAATAGTCCGACACACCATACCATTAGGAAAATTTCTTACGACAAATAATGATTGTTTTCCTTCTTTTCAGATCATTCGTTCACATTGAAGACATTTCAAGTAAATCGTATTCTTTAATATTGACAATAAGCTTTTATCAAATATAAGAAAATGACCTTTATACTACGATATTTATACTCATACATAAATGATATAAAAGTTAATATCTAATAAATATTAAGTTACAAAAAATGCTATCATGGACTTTGTCTTTTGTAAAGTCAGTAATTTAACGAAAATCATCAAATTCCGAATTGTAAAAGTAAACATTTTAAAGAATGAAGTCATCTTTACTCTTCTTTTCTTTATTACAAGGCATTATACTCGAATAATTACTCCAGGAATAACATGAAAGTATTACTATACGTCATATATAAATTAACCCTTTAATTTCATTCTTTCATTTTCCAACTTGTGCAACCCTACAGATATCAAACAAATAAATATTAAAAAAGAAACCAGGGTATAATAAATGAGCCTCTCTTTCAAACGCATTGTACGTTGGATCCAGATGTATGATTGTGCCGAGCACTTCTAACACGCGCGCCCCCGCATCGTTAAATCTCTAATGGCTAATTGCCGTAAATTTTTTTTTTTTAATATCATCAAAACTAAATTGTAAAAACCTACTCACGACTATGCGAGCTTTTACGTACCGTCTTCTTCATGTAGCCGAGAGTTGTCTGCGCTGCTACAACCGCATAACAACCACGTGACTGGTCGAGAATTTATTAAATGTACCATTAATTTTAATTAACAAGCCCAACGATCGTTACGTGCACGTTGCTGGCGTGCCGTATATTCCACATCTGGTGTGAATCTTCGTCTGGAATACCAGATGTAAGAAACAAATTTTTTGTTGTACATACTTCTTACTCCTTCCCTCTTTCTGCTTTTCTCTCCCATATTTTTTTTTGGAGCGTAAGTGTAACCAAGTTGCCCGGGAATCATGATGATAAATACTTGGGTATATTACACACAGAGATATGAGTGATATGCGAAAATTTTCACTCCCAACACGTGCGCTACGCATTGTTTCACCGTTTTTATGCAAAGACCACTGGCTGGCAACTCCTCCCATTAATTATACAAATAATAACAATAATGATAATTGCCTCGCCTGTTTTTTTTCTGCTCATTGTTTATCTCTGTGTCAGACTACTTATCTAATAATTAAGAAACACAATGGTTATGCGTGAAAGGCAGAGTCTCAGAGACTTATCAAATTTTACTTTCGCTCTCAAAGTGATTCTAATCACACGAATAAAAAATGAGTTCGAATTAAAAAGGAAACGCGAGCCAGAAGATAATTTAACGTAGTTAATAATACAATATCTGCATACTGCACTACTTTCGCGCTGAAACTGTGATTCCAGTGCACCTCGTTGCAATTTCTTTGATTATTCCTCTTACCTGTTTGCAAACCTTTGTGTATTGAATTACCATCAAATAACCAAAGCAATGTTGTAGATTCTTATTATGTTCCAATATCATCTAATATTTTTTTGTTTGTAAGAATTTCCTGTTCTTTATTTTATGATTTTACAAAAACTTTTTTTTTAATGATACCTGATATTTGATATTCTTAAATGAAATCCATACCTACTCACCTATTGTTTGATATTAATTAAAACATAGAACTTATTATCTGTGCATCTATGGGTTCTATACATATTAAAGTAAGGTGCATCAATCCACACAAAACCAATCTTCATATTTCTAATTGCATAAGATGGATTTGTCGGAAGTGAACAAGTAAATCTTTTTNATAATAACAATAATCAGAATATTAGGTCTTTTTTCCATGATGAACTAATGAAAACATCTAAAGTAATTGTAAATGTAATCTTTTTTTTTCGATATTTTCAAGTCAAAATTAATGATATTATTTATTAATAATTGATCAGCTAGACCACAGCAACAATTAAACGACTGAATGGTGCCGTAGTAGCAGTAAGAAAAAAAATAAAACATTGTTTATTGTAACAACCACAAAACTTTCTCTAAATAAAAGAAAAACTGTTCGTGATTTTATAATTTGTTTTAACGCCTACTTTCTCATATTTTTCAGTGTTAATAAATAATACAAGCATAAATAGAGAGCATACCTTATGAGACACAAGATAGCCTGAAAATCTTGATATCCTTACTATACATGCAACGAGCTATCAGTGAAAGTGAGTAGCTAATAATACATTAAACTTGATTTAATTTTTACTTTGTATAACGTAATGAATCAGAAAAATCACAAAGTTCTACACAAGAGATGCATGTTGTAGCTCATATGTTCACAGTATTCAAATTTATTTATTTTATGGGTTTACAACTGTAACAACAATTATTTGCTTAAACATATTAAAACTCATGTACTACACATTTTATAGCGCACCGTTACAAAATTGATAATACATGCATAAGTATAATTGCTCCAATGACACACATTTAGAACATTAAATTTCAGGTACTCTTTAAAATATTAGTATGTAAACTTATTTAGGCACACATTTATTAAGTACATCTAAGAAAAAATTTATTACTATTTACCAGCACTTTTTGAAGTTTGTAGATAAAATCCAGATGAAAAACATTGAAAAAATTTTTTCACAATTTTGTATGACTATTACGCAACTTTGAAATGTAACATTTTCACAAAGTCTTATATAAATCATTTTCTCTAAAAATAATAAAGAAGACTTGAAAAGCCTATTTAAAAAGTACACATTATTATTACTTAGTATAATGATTCTTAATGTAAAGGTTTATCGTTACGAAGCTATTCTATATCGTAATATAGTAATATTTTAAAAACTATGTACAGTGTGTGTAGAATTCTTATGATGAGCATTGTGTAGCGCTATATTTTGTAGTATTTTAGGCAGTTATTAAAAATTTTTATACATTTTACATCAAATCAGTTTTGTTGGAACTACATTAATCAATCGTTTTCAGTATGCATGAAACTTGTAGTTAATTTTTTATAACAAATATTCACAGCTGTAACGGTAGCATTCTTTAACATAACTTAATAATTAAATAGGACTATTAACACCTTTTCAAGACTGTAGTGTTATTATCAATCATAATATTCATGTGCGCTATTGATTCTTGAAAAATTGGCAGATTTTATATTGGCAATAAAAAATATTGGTCTATTTTTATTTGATTCCATCTTTGATATCAAAATTAGGTAAAAATCAGATGAAATTAACAATGAGTATCATTTATAGGTTACAATTAAATAATTATATTGCGATTCGTTCGATGCTCTGATCTTCTTATTGTCTCATATTATGGTTAATCTTGTATGACGTGTACCTAGGATCGTCAACAATTTGTACGCTTTTAACTTTTTGTGATTTTTTTACTTCTGGCTCGCTGTTAATCTTTTTATAGTCTTGAGAGTACTCGCTGTAACTCACAGCATGATCTTTCAACGCTCCATTACTGTGTGACACATGTGACTGTACGCTGCTGTGACCATAGTTACCTACGATAAAATCTGGATCTTGATGACCACGTTGTCGCAGGGATTCTAAGGTTTCCGTCAACTGTTTGAGATCTTCAACTGGATTTGTCTGATGTGCAGAACCTTCGCTGTCATACGAGGCACCTCCTAACTCATAATTGGTACTTTGAGAAACCTTTGACACACTATTGGCGTATTGCGTTAAGTACTGTCGTAGCAAAGATTTCAGATTTATATTTAATCCTGTTTTCGTTTGTATTGGCGGGGCTCCATCAACTCTAAGTATTATGACAGGAATCAGAGAACTCCCGGCTTGTATAAACGTTGGTTGTGCTTTCAAGATGGACGATGGATTCTTGATGTATTGTGAAAGCGATGGATTGTAGTTTAACAAGTTGGAAAACTCTGTGTTCACATGATTACCAGCGTCTTCGTTCTGATACTCGTGTGGAGACGTTCTCTTTCCAGAAAATACCTTGGTCAAATAATTTTGAGCCTCTGGTGTGTATTTTGCTAAAACGCTTTTGTTGATCTGTCCATCTGATGAAAAAAGATTATCCTTTTCGATATGTTGATGATCGTAAGTATACTCATTTTTTACACCACCAAGGGAGTATTTTACAGGTGGCTGATGATTGTCATACTTGATAAACTGATTATTGTAGCTAACTTGCGGTTTTGGACCATATCTTAAACTATAATTTTCTTGATCTGCCACATTATAAGTGCTTGGAATTTCAAAGTGGGGCCCGTAAGAAGCATCAGCAGATGATGAAGAAACAAACCTGCTGTCTTCGTTTTGCTGTTTGGCGCTCGGTTGTTCTTGATCATTTGGAAACTGGACAGGTCTAGGGGAGTAAATATTATTTTGAGAACGAGTATTGTAAGAGCTGTAACTTGCATGCTGTGAGGTAGGCGTTGGAGGCGAATGGAATGGGATGGATGGGCGAAAACCACCTATGGTCGGTGGTTGATTAAGTTTTTGTTGCCCAGCGTTCTCCGAGTACGCGTTAACATGAGACAAGGGTGGGACCTCTGAGATCTTGCCATCGGGATACTTCCACACAGTCTTGTGCTCATACCTAACTCCGTTTTCAATGGTGTATTTCGGATAGTTTGGTGAGTTTATTTCTTGGTTACTGTTGGGACTAGAGTTTGCATTAGGATTAGAGTTGGCGTACGATTTGAGAGCATTGCTGCCGTACTTTCCTGTCATGTAGTTTGCAATGTAAGAAGACGTCATAGGTCTCGTGTAACGATTTAAGTTTGCAGAGAAAAATGGGTCCGATTGATCTGTATGGCTAGCCGATTTATGAGGAGCATAAGAAAAAAGCTGCTTGTAATGCCCACTTGGTATTGGAGGTGCTGGAGTCAAGTAAGAACTTTGATGCAATTTCGCCGAGGAATGCTTTTCAAAATTAGAGGACGGAGTTTTTTGAAGTTTGGTTCGTTGACCATAAACCGGATACGGTGGGTAGATAGGTAAAGCTTCTTGATATTGAAGAGGTAATGGATCGGGTAGATCTTCGAAAAATGGCTTCTGTGCTTTGGCATTGTCATCTTCTTCGTTTGCATCTGTTTTTTCTGTGATTGGTTTAATTTCTTCTGTAATTGTTTCCGATTTTAACGGACTTACTGATTCATCAATACTCACAGCAGTCCCAGTACTACCAGCAGGAAAATAAAAATTGTGCTTTCCCATGAAGAGACTATTGCTGCTGAATCCATAACCAAGGTTATCATCTATGGTTCTCTTCAATTTGTCATCGCCTTGATCAGATTTATTAAGCGAATTATTGTCAGTGCCGTTTACAAAATCTAAAAGAATTATTGGTGGAAGTATAGGAAATTCTTTATCTCTAAAAGGCTCCAATTTTACAGTGCTGTGCAAATTAACTTCGCCGTCTAGTTGCTTTTTGTGGTGGTGGAGCTGAGGTAAATCTTTGCCAGAATAATTTCCGTTCTTCTCACTATCAGCAGACTTTGGCTTTAGTTTTTCAGAGCTGCATGTGCACACTGCTAGGAGCAGCAATCCCCATGTTATCTGCAAAAACAATCATAATTAATTAAAACATTGCTAAACTTTTTGTGCCTGCACGTAACGTTTGAATCGTTTTATTCCAGTACATAGTTAAAATTAATTTTATTATTGATTAGATGTGGCATTTTTATAGTAATTTTAAGCTCTAAGATATGATTTTATAAATTTTAAAAAAATGGTTACAGTGCTATAGAATATCTCAGTCCTCCACAAAAGAAGTCATCCAAATGAAATCTTCATTTTATTAAACTTTTTTTATCAATACAATGAAACATTTTTATTTGTTGAGTCCTTAATTAACATTGTCTAGACAATCAAAAATACATTAAATAAGTGTATCTACATTATTTTTTCCTCTCTTTTTAATAAAATTTAGTATTCACTCGAGAGAACACAGAATCAACGAAAGTCATGAAAGTAATCTCCGCAAGTGTAAACTATTTCCACCTAAACCTTGCAAATTATTTACGTCAGTGAATGTCGGGGTCCACTGCTATACCACTTTCAATTTCGCTCCGACACCTATACCACCACCTCTATGTATTATACTACAGCGTGGACCAACATTACTACAACGTATACATATACAACGACGTACAAGACGAGATCACGTATAATCCCATAAGTCGCGCACCGTCGCCAGCAGTATAGCTGCAGCTGACGATGAGAGTCTTAGCTCCAATCCCCCCCCCCCTCCAAATGCATAATCTCGGTGATCTGAGCGTGCAAGCGAGCGGGCGAGGGAGATGAGCCGAGACACCTTCCGGCGCCCTTACACCTCCAGCGCGTTAGACCGGCTATCCTTAAGTGGATGCGCTTTCCAGGCTGAGATAGAAGATCGAGAGACCGTGAAGGAGCGCTTTCGGATTTTCCGGCTTGGGTACGAGTCTCTCGAGCGGGAAGGGGAGAAGATTCGGAGGCATCGGGGATGTATAAGTTCCGTGGTATGGTTATAAGCTGCCAAGGCAAATGCGTTATTGGCTGCGAACATGCCACGAGTTGCCTTAACTTTCGGGACGCCATTGTTGCTCAAGTCATTAGAGGGAATGAATAATATCGGGATGATCAAATGTTTCCACTGCGATCGAGGAACTTTCTATTTATTTTTCCATCGCAACATTACCCATGATGCGTTGGTTAGCTGATGTTACATGCCAATATCGTTTTATAAGTATTTAATGTATGATCATCTGCACGTCTGAAAAAATTATGTGTACATGGTGAATAACATTAAAACATTTACCAAGTTAAAAGCAGCTCGTACAATTTGTGTGAATGGATAAATAGTATAAACTGTTGTTGATAGCAAAGTGTCCCATTTCTAGCAACCAGTGATTATTATACACAAGTTTGTGATTGAAAATAGTACGGTAAGGTAACAAAGCTTCCATCATTGTTAAGCTCTTGATTTCAACAAAATTTTCCATCAAGATCTCATTAAATAAAATGAAGTATTTTATTTGGCTTAATTTTTACTTTCACTTTATTACATACGAGGTCTTTAAAATTCTTATAAATTTTTTCCCTGGCCTCCAGTTTATAATTCTCACTTGTTTACAGCAGAAATATATATATAAATGAGTTATAATCTGGACGTTAATTAATGATGTTTTTCACGCTCTTTTGATTCGTTTAACGGATATATAATGCATATGTTTACCACCAGTGCAGATTAAATTTTAAGATTAGAAAAAGCGAGACAAATCGATGTTTGCTCTGCTCTTACGTGAAGAATTATGGTATAAATATATGACGTTGATCATTTTCACATTACGATGTCACTTTTACTTTTGTGTCACTACTTGATCGTTAATATCCGTACTTTCATCTTTTACGGTGAGTAATTTTATTCTTATAAGGGATAAGTAAACAAAAAGTTGAAAAAAATTTAAAAAGTAAATAAAATCAATGAGAAATTATATAAACAAAAAAGCAGAATACAAATTTTAACCGCAAAGCGTAAGTTACTATTATACTATTCGTTCACAACAGTCACAATTAGCATTTTTATAAATCATGTGCATACAAAATAATATTCTACCTTAAGTTTAGTGATAAAAACGTTTTATACGTACTTTAATACGTTTTTATCTCAGTTTTTTAGTTAAAAAAATATTTCACAATGTATTAGAGTTCTAACCCAAGAATTAAAAAATTAAGTAGAAACAGACAAGTAAATTAAGACGCGTCATTGTTGGGAAGACAAATCATAGTGACTTTACACAATTTATACTAAAAAAATACAAGACAATACGCCTGCAAGAAAAAATTTGACAGATTATTGGAGTTCCAACCCTAGAATTACAAAAATTAAGTAGAATCAGACAAGTAAAGTAAGACGAGTCATTGTTGGGTAAACACAACAAAGTAACCTTAAATAATTTATACGAAAAAAGTACAAGACAATACGCTTACAAATTTTTTTTTACAGATTATTGGAGTTCTAACCCAAGAAATCAATAATTAAGTAAAAACAGGCATGTAAAGTAAGACACGTCATTATCGGACAGACCCACCAAAGTGACTTACATAATTTACACTAAAGAAATATAAGATTACACTTATAAAAAAAGATTTCGTAGATTATTGGAGTTCTAAAAAAAGAATTCAGAAATTCAGTAGAAACAGACACGTAAAGTAAGTCGAGTCATTGTCGGACAAACACATCAAAGTGACTTTACATAATTTATACTAAAGAAATATAAGGTAATACGCTAACAAGAAAAATTTCTACAAATTATTAGAGTTCTAACCCAAGAATTAAAAAACTAAATAAAAACAGACATGTAGTAGTAAGACGCGTCATTGTCGGAGGGACCCATCAAAGTGACTTATATAACTTATACTAAAGAGATACAAGATAATACGCTTACAAAATTTTTTTTTGCAGATTCTTTGAGTTCAAACCCAGAAATTAAAAAATTCTAAAATTCTAAAATTCTAAAACTAAGTAGAAACAGACATGTAAAGTAAGACGCGTCATTGTCGGACAGATATATAAAAGTGACCTTACATAATTTATACTAAAAAAAATACAAGACAATACGCTTACAATATGTTGTATCGTCATTCATAATAAAGATTTCTGTCACAAAAAATTTCCTTAGCTATTCTATAGTAGGTTGAAAATAAATCGTAAGATTTCATCCATACCGCAAGTTGGAGGCAGAACAGCAACATAATGATGATAAATGAAAAAAAATCTTTATCACTAGTATCAAATTAATAATAGTTCTTTTTCATTTGAGATATACTGTTGATAAATTTATAAAATTTGCACAATTAACATTTTTAAAACACCAGACAACGGTCAAGAATAGTAATAAAGTCAACTTTGCAGGCAGGTTTCTTATTTTTTTTGACGAAATAATGGATATAAAATATTTTTAGATGCACTAAACAGTACTTTATAACCATAAGGTACATGATACAACAATTATTGATCAAGGCACAAATCGAAATATACATTTCACGAAATCTGAGAAAAAACCTGTTAGCAAACATTACGAAGAGGAAAAAGAGAGCGGCAAGAAAACCAGTAGATACTAAAGTTTCCTGGTGCAGTTATTTCGCAAACGCACGAAGAGTAATCAACAACAACGAGAACATCAGGCCGCCGCACCGGAATCTCCCCTCGACATTCCGGAAACGAAGCTTTCCACAAAAGAAAGTCGAGAGAGTCTGGGCGTCAAACAGCTCACGCGTACATACACACACACACGTATACGGTCCACGGCTGCTGACCGCTTTATTTCCCGTGGCTCCGTCTTACCTACCACATCCCATTAAACTCGCTTTCGGTGAGAAAAATAAAACGCGGAAATCGAAAAGCAAGCGATGGCAAAAAAAAAAAATCGTCGAGACGAAAAAATCCTCGGGAAATTTTCTCACGTGATCGCACCCAAACTTTAATTAATAAAGAACAACGGAGAACGAAGACTCACCTGCCTCATGTCTCGCGCCAAGAGAGAAATCGGACGGTGACGAGCGCTTCCTCTCTCCCCAGCTACTCTAGTTGTTGTTCTATCGCTGCACATGTACTTGCAATGTGCAAGCAAGTGGTGTTAGTGTGGGCTGTTGTGTGGCCACTGCAATACACAGTCGTACGTGCTACTGGTACAACAGACAGGTCGCGTGTGTTGGGACCGTCCGGGCCCGATGAAGCAGTGAGGCCCGCCACGAGCAGCATCCCACCTCATGTGCCACCTTCTCTCTTTTTCTCTCCCTGTCCTTATTCATGCCCCACGAGTGTGCGATTCGACATATGTGCCTTCGCCAAAGCCAGGATGACTACCCACAGTATCCACAGCTCCAATGTACACTCGATGTTGCACGTATGGACGCGTGTGGGATTTTACAATGACCATTTCACCGTGAAAGACTCGAGCGCTTCTGTGCGGGCATTGTGTGCTTACATGTGCATGTTACGCGCCTTCCAACTGGACAACCGTATATTTATCATTTCTACGTAGGCTGATGCGAGGCGATGTCTCTTTATGGTGCCAGTGCAAGGGTATTGCATGGTGCTATTGTATCACAACTGCTTTTTTCTTCGTTCGTGGAGAAGTTTAATATACTGTACATTTTTGTTTGAAAATAGTCCAACAATAGACAAATTATCACAGATTTATCCGAGGCTGTAAATAAATATGATGCCTGGGATACATGATGGATGTCTTTCAGTATAATATTGTGCAACTCTTACCCGAAACGGCTTGACTCTGGACCGATTTCCTTCAGAACTAGCGAGTACAGTACACAATAGTTAAAAGTGAGACCATACATTCATACAACCAAATATTATCTACAATATTATCAATAATGCATGATTTTACTTTTTCAATTGTTAAACTGAAGTTGTCACATTTTTTTACGATTCTTGCATTAGGTCCACCTCTGTACGTCATGTTGCGCATAGCTTTATCTCATAGAGGCACTTATCTATAAGTGTTACATCTCTTTACCTTTTTTGTATGTAATTGATAGAAAAATTGTTAATATCCAATCACAAT